TAACGTGATATAAGCCCTATTTTTAACAAGATAATTTTCATCCATTAAAAAAGGTTGTATATTTTAATCGTGGAATACTACTCAGCCATAAAAAGGAATGAAATAATGGCATTTGCAGCAAACTGGATGGAAATGGAGGTCATTATTCTAAGTGAAGTAACTTGGGAATGGAAAACCAAACATCGTTCTCACTTATAAGTGACAGCTAAGCTTTGAGGACGTAAAGGCGTAAGAATGATAATGGACTCTGGGGACTTGCGGGGAAGGATGGGAGTGCTGTGAGGGGTAAAAGACTACACATTGGGTGCAGTGTACACTGCTTGGGTGATGGGCACACCAAAATCTCAGAAATAACCACTAAAGAATTTACCCATGTAACCAGACACTCCCTGTTCCCCCAATACTATTGAAATAATAATTAAAAATAGAAAAAAAAAAGTAGAAATTATGGAAAACAAATATGAAAAAATACATCAGTGGGTGTCTTTTCTACTAAAACCAGAAGATTGTTCTGAGTACTTAATCTTCACTGTGAAATATTTGGCAATTAATTCCTCTCTGACGCAGTGTCTTACTGTGTTAGTAAATCTATTAGTTAACAGTTGCAGTATTTCTTTTAAATGTTTTTGTTGTAAACTTAGAGGCAGTCTCCTTTATTCATTTGGTTCTTTTTCAACTATTTGAGACACTTTCATTCCCTGATATTTATGAAGTACATGTTTATCACTAAATGTAGTAGTTTGGTTTACATTAATAATTTGATGTGTGATCTAAAAACGTAGTCACTAAGAGGGTGTGCACTGTGGTTACAGATTGATTGGCAGTGGAGTACCATGGAGGCCGCTGCAGTGGTGCTGATGGTGCTAAGGCTGGCAGTGGAATTTCTGTGTAGGGCCTTAAGCCCCTGAGGGTCCTGGTGACTCAGGGAATCCATCACAGCCTGGGGTCATTCACCCCAGTTCACTCCTTTTGTCTGGCCTGGATTGCTCCATGCTTGCCCTCATTCCAACAACTGAGTAGGGACCCAGCAATCTGAATGAGCTGATCGTTGTTTATGTTCAGATGAGAAATGTCTGGACCACTTAAACTATAGCTGCTTTTCTGGCAGTCTTATCTGCAGGGCCCAAACTTAATAAACCATAGGAAATAGACTGTCATTCTTAGTTTGCTGCCCGGACTTATTTTAGATTCAGAGCATATTGGTACATGGGAGAGGTAGTGTCGTTTGCTCTGATTTTCAACCTGTGGGCTCTCTGGCATCTTTTGTGCTCCTGGCTTTTTTCAGTCATGGCATGATTGTATCTCTTAGCGTTTCTTTTGCCCAGCAGGATAATATTGAGTCCCATTGCAAGCACGGACAAGGCCTCTGGTTCTGGTCACCACTACCTTTTCAACCGTAGAACATCACTGGAAATGCTTAATGCCTGGATCTATATTCTACTGGAAACAATTCCATTGGGAAGCCTTTCAGTGGGAAACGAATAAATGTTATACATGGTTATGTTCAGTGATGTCAATAAGACCGCTTACTAATAGAAAATAAACATTTTTAAAAGGTATATTTTAAAAGCAGAATTATATATGTGTTTAAAATGGTTACCATGTCGTGGAACATTAAGCAAAATCTACACGTATTTTCTGTATCCGTAAGGTAACCCGCTACTCAATAATAGTATATGCCCTGGGATGGGATGCCAGCTTGTTTTTGTCCGCTTTCACAGGCAAGATGCGTCATCATCATCATTAAGGTGGCTACTGTTTATTAAGTGCTTATTATTTGCAAGCCACTATGTACGTGAAAACATTCATTTAATTACATATTTCTTTTGTTTTCCATATTTTGAACATACAGGTGTGGAGCATGATATAGCAAACAGTCATCTGTGCATCACCCAGTTTTAAGAGATAATTTAGTTTTTTGTTTTACATTCTTCTTTGGTAGTATGTCAAGCGTTACGGATAAAATGAAAGCCACCAGTGTGCTGTTGTCTGATCCTCTCTCCCAGCTACTAACAACTGTACTCCAGTTGGTGTACATGCTTCCCATCCATGTTTTCTTGGCATACTCTTTCAGGACAATCCCTTTATGTTACTCATGTAGTCAGCAAACACTTGTTCCATTAGGCACCTCTATGCCAGACACTGAGTTAGATGCTGGGAATAAAATGGTAGGCAAAAATAGGCTTGCAGGGGAAAATCCTGGGCATTGGGACTGAGGAGTTTTTGATACATTCATGCAAAGATGCCTGGAGTAGGTGGTTGTGATTTCTGGGTTGTTTCCTGCTGAAACCCCTTTGGTGGGTCTCTATTGTCCTTAAGGATAAAGTCACAACTACCTGAAATGCTTGCCGTCCTTTGCATCTTTCTGCTGTCTGCTGCCTCCACCTCTCTCCCTGTTCTTGCTCTAGCCAAATATTGCCTGAACTCTTTAAAAAAAAAAAAAAAGGCCGGGCGCGGTGGCTCAAGCCTGTAATCCCAGCACTTTGGGAGGCCGAGACGGGCGGATCACTAGGTCAGGAGATCGAGACCATCCTGGCGAACACGGTGAAACCCCGTCTCTACTAAAAAATACAAAAAAAAAAACTAGCCGGGCGAGGCGGCGGGCGCCTGTAGTCCCAGCTACTCGGGAGGCTGAGGCAGGAGAATGGCGTAAACCCGGGGGGCGGAGCTTGCAGTGAGCTGAGATCCGGCCACTGCACTCCAGCCCGGGCGACAGAGCCAGACTCCGTCTCAAAAAAAAAAAAAAAAAGTGAAATGTATCACACACAAGAGTCTATAAAATGCATATATATACACACAGGTAAAACAATAATAAAACATGGGTATAGCCTTCAGTTAGGGTAGGAGCACTACCAAGACCGCTGAAGCCCGCCACCACGCACCCTGTCTTATCCCTCTCCATTCCCCCACAGGCAACTGCTATCCTTTCTTTTGTGTTAATTTTTTTTTGTTTGTTTTTGTGGTGCTGCTCTGTGGATATCTAACCGTGTCCCTGACCATCTTTTTTCTCTTTCCTTGTCCCTCTCCTGTCTTAAACAACGGTTTTTTGGTGAGCGTTCTCTGCATTGTAAATGTGGGATGTTTGCTTCCATACACATCAGCACTTCTTTAACTACTTTGTAACTGAATGTTTAATTGTTCCCCACCTCAGACGGCATATATGCCAGGCCAAATTAGCATTTTGCTCATGGAAGGTATCCAGTATGTAACCCGTGAGTTGAAAATGAACTCCGTCCTGTTTCTTCTCACTCTTAGCTAGTGACTTCAATTCCTCAAGTTCATTCCTTTCGTGTTAACCTTTTCCTGCCACTCAGTTGAAGCTGAATTCAGATGTCCACCCTCATACCCTCGTTGGCAGAGGCGGCTTCCAAGTGGGATTCTCTACTAAAATCATTTTCCTCTGGATTATTATTTACTGTTTGATAAAAGACTGTGGCTCAGATCATTGGAATTTTAGTTTATTTTAAAAAATGTAGGCCAGGCACTGTGGCTCATGCCTGTAATCCCAGCACTTTGGGAGGCCGAGGCAGGCAGATCACCTTAGGTCAGGAGTTCGGGACCAGCCTGGTCAACGTGGTGAAACCTCATCTCTACTAAAAATACAAAAAATAGCCAGGCGTAGTGATGCACACTTGTAATCCCAGCTACTCGGGAGGGTGAGGTAGGAGAATCGCTTGAGCCTGGGAGGCAGAGGTTGCAGTGAGCCAAGATTGTGCCGTTGCACTCCAGCTTGGGCAACTAGAGCAAAATTCAGTCTCCAAAAAAAAAAAAAAAACAAAACATGAAAAGTTGGTAGTGATAGTTGCACGGCAAATGTGAATGCAACACCACTGAAGTCTACATTTAAAAATGGTTAAATTGGTAAATCTTATGTATATTATGTAATGTTTTGTGTGCACACACATACAAAAAACTTAAAAATTTATGTTACTTTTGGGCCGGGCGTGGTGGCTCAAGCCTGTAATCCCAGCACTTTGGGAGGCCGAGACGGGCGGATCACGAGGTCAGGAGATCGAGACCATCCTGGCTAACACGGTGAAACCCCGTCTCTACTAAAAAATACAAAAAACTAGCCGGGCGAGGTGGCGGCGCCTGTAGTCCCAGCTACTCGGGAGGCTGAGGCAGGAGAATGGCGTGAACCCGGGAGGCGGAGCTTGCAGTGAGCTGAGATTGGGCCACTGCACTCCAGCCTGGGCGACAGAGTGAGACTCCGTCTCAAAAAAAAAAAAAAAAAAATTTATGTTACTTTTGTTTACCTTTCCTATTTCTTCTAGCCTGAGATCTTCTTTGATGTTGTCAGCCTCTCAACATGGCAGGAAGTGTTAAGTGATTCTCAACGTGAACACCTCCAGCAGTTTCTGCCTCAGTTTCCTGAAGACAGTGCTGAGCAGCAGAACGAACTCATCTTAGCCCTGTTCAGTGGGGAGAACTTCCGCTTTGGAAATCCTCTGCACATTGCCCAGAAGCTTTTCCGAGGTTTGTAGCTCAGTATTCTTTCTTTGAGGGGAGTGGTAGATGGGCACACATTCACTTATGTGGGTATTCCTTTCTTCCTTTTCTTCTCTTTATCTTCATGTACAGATACTGAGCTGGCAGAGAGCGGTTTTGTGTTACACTTTGCTGTCTAGGCTGTGTTTCAAAAAATAAAATTTATTGACTTATATAGAGAGTACATAATATGATCTCAGCTGTGTAACCAGCATCTACATAAAGAAAAAAAACATTTCCAGCATACTAGAGGTGCCTTCATGCCTAGTCTTTAAAAATTTTTTAAAAGAGCTTGCCATTTGCTTTATTGCACATATCAAGGTTTGTGTGTGTGTGTGTGTTTAGGTACACACATACTTTTTGCTACAGAAGATGTGACAGTTCACTGCCAAGCACTTAAGCATGTCCATGTCTCTCTTTTTTTTTTTGATAAACAGACATGTTTAATGATAGCTTGCTCTTCACAGACATGCTTACAGAGACTTAATCTAGAATCCAGGAGACTATAACCACGCAACACAGACCAATTAGCCAAATGTAAAATAAACTAGATTCTTACCACAACTACCCTATAAACACTGCAACTGTTCTTTCCAAAGGACCCTAATCTTATGTGAAAACACCTACTGTGGGGGAACCAGAAACCTAGCTATGTGGCCAAAAGGAAAAAATAGCAATTCAGTCGTTAATTGGTGAAAGCAGGAAATTTGTGCCCTTTACTGTGCTGCTGTTGCTGCTGTTGCTGCTGTTGCTGCTGGTGTTGCTGGTGTTGCTCTTGTTGCTGCTGTTGCTGCTGCGGCAGGTGCTGCTGCTGCTGCTACTGCCGCTGCTGCCGCCACTCCTGCTGCTTTGGTCTTCTTAGTTTTGTTCTTTTTGTCTCTCTTCTTCAGCCCATCCATGTTAGCTCTCAGTAGGTTTGAATGAGCCATCTGAAACTTACTCACTTCCTTGGAGCTCACCACAGTGCTGATCTTCTTTTTCCCATCGGTAGCTCTTAACAGACACTTGTTGTCTGCGGGCTCAAAGCCCTCCACAGTACCTTTCTTTGGAATGGGTTTGGTTCGACCATCATACTTCTTCAAGGTGATATAGACGCTGCCCCACGTCCGGCACTTCTGGAAAAGTCTGGTCAGCTCCGTCAGAAACTGCTCGCTCTCCAACAACACCATCGCGGCGACGCTTGGCTCGACTCCGCATGTCCATGTCTCTTAACAGACACTCTCCCATATCATGACAGCCCTGTTACCACACACAAGGAATTTTACATTGAGCAGATAATATCATAGGCTATTTCATGTTCAAGTTTTCTTCTTCTTTTTTTGGGGGGGGGGGGGGACAGTCTCGCTCTGTCACCTGGCGCAATCTCAGCTCACTGCAAGCTCCACCTCCTGGGTTCACGCCATTCTCCTGCCTCAGCCTTCTGAGTAGCTGGGACTACAGGGGCCCGCCACCAGGCCTGGCTAATTTTTTGTGTTTTTAGTAGAGACAGGGTTTCACCGTGTTAGCCACGATGGTCTCGATCTCCTGACCTCATGATCTGCCGGCCTTGGCCTCCCAAAGTGCTGGGATTACAGGCATGAGCCACTGCGCCCGGCCTTCGTGTTCTAATTTTCTTAATTGTTCCTGCAGCGTCCTTTAGAGTGGCTGTGTAAATCCAGGATCTGTTCAGGGTTCATGCATTGTGCGTGGGCCTTATGTCTCTAGCTTTTTGAATCTAGGGCCCTTTGCCCCTTTTGTTTTTGTCTTTCAGTACGCTGACATTTTTGAAGAGCCAGGACACTTCAATTATAAAATGTCCTGCTTCCTGGGAGTCTGTCATTGTGTTTTCTCTTCTTTAGATTGGGTTAAAGGCTTTCGGCAAGAATACGATATAGGAAATGTGGTCTTTCCCATTGTGTCACCTCAGGAGGCACGTGGTGTCAGTTTTTCCATTTTGGTAAAGCCACATGTGATCACTTGGTTAAGTGGTGTCTGCCATACCTCTTGCTTGTAAGCAAGCAAGATACTTGTAAGCAAGCAAGATACTTGTAAGCAAGCAAGATAAAGGTACTTGCTTTCCTTTATCATAAAGAAGCACTGTGGGATGATACTTTAGGATCATGGGTCATGTGATAGTCTCATTTTCCAAAAGCCTTTGTTTTACCCACTGGTTTTTGCTTCCATGGGTGATTCTCAACCGCATCAGTTATTATATTGGGAGTTGCAGGATGGTTTGGACCACTCTTTAAGTTACAGTTGCTTTCTGTACCATGGAGAGGAGCCAAGGAAGCCTCTTCCCCTTCCTTTCCAGGGTGACTTTGTTCTGACACAAGGCCCTGAATGAGCAGCACATCTTGAATTCTGTTAAACTCGGCAACTTGAAAGCTGCTAATGACCAGAGAGAGCAGGCTTATAATCTGAAATCTCATTATTTTAAGGCTTTAAAATGAACATTGCCACCTTTGGTGGGTTACTAGTGTGAAAAGGAATGCCCCTCTATGGTTGTCGGAGATCTGTTTCACTACAGCTGAGGGTGCACTGTCTCCTCTGGTAGAGCAGAAGTCAGGGAGACCCACTTGGCTTTAGAGGGGCTCTGTAAGTGACCTTCCATAATGGTAGCACTGTCTCTTGTGCTGGCATGTTTCCCCCAGAACAGTATGGCAGTCTGGTAAGGATACAAGTGAGGAATGTCAAGGCAGGACTTCCTGCATATTCCACTCTGACCCATGCCACGTATCAGTTCTAGTGTTGCTGAAGACAGTTGCATTACTGTGGCTATGATGGTCATCAGCCTTAAATGAGCTGTCATTGCTTCTCAGCACACTTACTTTTGGTTCTGTTTCCTGATTCTCTTAGATGTTCACTTTTCCCTTAAGTTTTGTGGTACAGAGTTTACCATGTTAAGCACTCATTCAATATATTTGTTGACTGATGATGTATATTTGTTGACTGATGTATATATACACCTTTATTTTTTTAAGATGGACACTTTAACCCCGAGGTGGTCAAGTACCGGCAGCTATGCTTCAAGTCACAGTACAAGCGCTACCTCAACTCCCAGCAGCAGTATTTCCATCGGCTGCTGAAGCAAATTCTTGCTTCTCGGAGTGTAAGTAGTGCTGGGAACTGGATATAGAATGTGGCTGGTCACAGGTATCATGACTTCAAGAAGCATTTCAGGTGCAAAACGCAAAAGTTGCCACTAAGAAAAAATGCTACCGATTAATCTGTAACACAGTTAAGCTATGCCATCCTTTCTTATGATAAACTTCAAATGTGTCCTGATTTCAGAGATGTTAAAACATAAAAAAAAGTGCTTCTTAAAATTGACGAAATTACAGTAGCTTCAGTGTTTACCAAGATAAACAGATGGATTTGGGATCCATCATGGGTTATTAAGGGAAGCCAGGATTCCTTGGAATGGATATGAAGGTGTGCACGGGCCTCCGAACGCTGTGATGGATGGTAGCATAATAGGCCCAATGGCCGCTGGAAATTCTTAGAGGCAAAGTTGTTTGGGTTTTAAGTCATCCTTTAAGCTTTGGTACAGAAATACTTGGGTGTCTAGTATAAAAAAGTATTCATTCCTAGTAGAGCACTTCACTCAGATTTGGGATTTTTCTTCATGTAATCAATACAGGTTTTTTTTATTTGGATGTGTTGATATATATGTGTATCTTTCTTTGTGATCTGGAGGAAGGGAGTTGGGCTTCACACTGAAGAAAACGTAGACTTGTAGAGTGTTCATTGTTCCAGAACAGGTCTTGGATGATGATGTGTACCCCCACCTGATCTCTTCCTAGGATCTGCTGGAGATGGCCCGGCGGAGCGGCCCCGCCCTTCCCTTCCGGCAGAAACGGCCTTCACCATCCCACACTCCTGAGGAGCGGGAGTGGCGGACCCAGCAGCGCTACTTGAAGGTCTTGAGGGAAGTGAAAGAGGAGTGTGGTGACACAGCCCTGTCATCTGATGAAGAGGGTGAGTGTCCTCGGGCACTTGGGGTAGCTGGGGTATTGGATTGATACCGGCCGCTTGTCCGGTTGGAGCCAGTGGTAGCCATTTATCTCCCCGGCAGAGAAACCCTCTTGAGTTGTCTTGGTCTGGGGTGGATAGCGGGGCTCGGAAGGCCTTGGTCTTTGGGTTGCTAAGGCATTGCCGTCAGATGGGGAGTGACTACATGGCCTTTTTCACCCTCATGGCCTTGTGGCTCTTGAGCTTAGATGAGAGCCCGCCAGGCGACTGCCTGCATGACAGGGTTCTCCGCAGTGGGCCTGACTGGTCCCATTTGCCACTTGAGAGAACTGTTTTCCCCTTACAGGAGAGTAGTAGTGGCTGTCGGCCTGCTGCAGTGCGACCCCAGCACTCTGTTGAAGTCTCTCTTCCTGGAAGAGCCGTTAGATGGCCTAAGTGTGCTCCAGCTCCTCTGGGGAAGGGTCAGAAAGGAGTGTGGAACCCTGGCCTCCATGTTGTTGGCTTAGCCTTGTTGAACCCAAATGGCCACTTACCCAATCTCCCCTATTGGAGTCCACAGCCACGTTGGATTTACAAGAACAATTTTCTTTTGAAGATCTCAGCTCATGGCTTCCGAGCTCTCCAGCACGTTCTCCTAGTCCTGCGGTGCCCCTGAGGGTGGTGCCCACACTTTCAACCACGGATATGAAAACTGCAGGTGAGAACCGAGTTGCCGCCGTCACCATTCTGGGACATTGCAGTGGAGACCTGAAAACTCCTTTAGAGGGAGGTGGGTGGGGGCAGATTCCTAACTGCCAGGAAAACAAAGCTCCCTGGAACTAGGCGATTTGTTTGGTAAAGTTTTTGTACCATTTTATTTTATTTTTTACATCTGGACATAGGCCTGCCTTTTTTCCTTTGTTTTAAAATTTCTTCTCAGAAGCTGATATTTTGGGCTAAAGAAAGCAAAATCTCGAAACAGCAGTACGAAGGGACAGTTCAGTAAGAGGACAAAGGAATAACCAGAGCCAAGCCATTCTCCAGAGTGGCTGTGAGTTTGGAGAAGAGTTTTTATTTGGAATAGGAAGCAAAGAAGAATGTTAAGAACCTTAAGTGTGTTTTAGGACCAGCAGAGTCACTGAAGTCATTTATTACCAATGTATGGAGAAGTGGAAGTGTTGATCCTGTGACTTTAAAGATTTTTGGTACTTGTAGTTCACAGGTGTCAGAAGGGAAACTCAGAAATATCTTTCTTTGGACAAGTGACCAGAAAGATGTAAATTGGAGAATCATGGTAGTGAATGTGGTTTGGTTTGTTTTCTCAGATAAAATAGAACTGGGGGACAGTGACCTGAAGATTATGTTAAAGAAGCACCATGAGAAGCGGAAACATCAGCCAGTAAGATGGGCAGGGCTTGCGGCCGTGTGGTTTTCAGCCTGATGTTTCAGGATTGGCTGTCCTGAGGAAGACACGGGGCATCACTGCCTTGTTTGTATGTCCTCCCTACCATGTGGGCACAGGACCAGCCGATGAGGCTGGCTGGCATCAACGATGTGAGGCGTGGGGGCTTTGACTTCACAGGGCCTGCTGAATGTGTTGTCTGCGTTAATTGTTACAGTGACACTGTCGAGTATAGGAATGGTCGTTTCCACCTCAACAGTGCTCGAGAGGTTAGGGAGCTTGTCATTGGTCCTATAGCCAGTAAGCAGCAGAGCCAGGAGTCGGGCCCTGGGTTTGTCCCACTTTTTACTGTTTCCATTATTCCATGCTACCAAGTTGAGGTAGCTAGCTAGCACCTCAGAGAGTTTAGTGGAGAAAAGATGATGCCTTTTTGAGAAGAAAAGACAGTCCTTCTAAGGCTAGGAGGTGAGAGGGGAAGAACCCCACATGGGAAGTCAGTACTCTCTCTTTTCTAGTTACTGTGATACCTCTCTAAACCCTATTTCCACATTTTGTAAAACATATTAATACTTCACAAGACTGTGTGCAGAGCACATGAGACAAGGAATGCAGAAGAGCTTTATAGCTAAATGCTGAACGATAGGAAGGTTGGGACTGGGTTCTATGCACCAGTATCAAGTTTGTTTTTTTTAATTAAATGGGGATATGATAGGGAAAAATTGAATAGTTTTCTCTCTCTATATTTTTTATTCAACGTGATTTCCCCAAGTGTACCTAACATCTAATTGTTACATAAATTTGCAAAATCACCTTAGTTTTTGCTCCTTTTTGGGCCTCCGTGACCAAATTTTGGATATCACATCT